TGAAGAAGGGACTAGGATTTGGAAGAAATTGTGAATTAAAAAACAAAAAAAAAAAACCACCAGAACAGGCTGAAGAAGGGACTAGGATTTGGAAGAAATTGTGAATTTCAGGTTGTTCTTGCAAATTGACAAACTGCTCTGAACACAGGAATATGCTGTTCCAAAGTGCACTCACCATTAGTATGTCTGCTGTGATAGCCCAGTTTGAAAACAGAAGAGTTTCTCCGATAAAAATGCAAATCTGTTGTAACAAAACACACAAAAAGGAGAAGATTTATTCACTTGACATTCAAAGGAAAAATAACCTGTCACAAACTTTCCTTTGTTGCCTGTTTGTCTCATACCTACACAGTACACTCCTTGTTGCTGTTGTGGTTTACTTTGAGTATTAGCAAACCATAGGCTCGTATCAGAGCACTAGAGGGCTGGCCTGAAACTTTGTTACTGTAAACTAAGTTTATGATCTACAGAGCAGCTAAATTAAAGGCTGACACCTTTGATTTTAGAAACCAGGAGAAATCAGCATGAAGAGACAGCCCCAGGCTTGAATACTTAGAATCACAAAATTGTTGAGGTTGGRAAAGACCTTTAAGATCATCAAGTCCAACTTGCACCATTCTGTTCCAAAAAGCCAGTTAGAAAAGGCAAGAAGGCCACAACTCCCCAAAGCACAGCCACTTCCATCCCTGGGAACCAAGTTATGTWTTCAGCTGCATATCAAACCAGCCGAGGTTCTCTACCTACTGTGTGGAGGATCCCTTCCCTCCCTGACAGCATTACACAGATTATCTCTGACCAGTTAAGACTGGAATTAAGTATGGGCTTTACAACATCAGTGTCTTGTGGTGAAATACAATTCTTGGCTCTGTGGAGATGATCGAGACATTAAAARCCACAGAACTGCAAGAGTGGCAGCTGTGACATGATGTGACCACTGCCACTGTCTTTCCCACACACCAGTTGAGGTTGCCTAAACCCCTCAGACCACCATGTCACTGCCAGGAATAATTTGCTTTATTTAGCAAGGCTTACGCACTGACCTACAGAAGCTTCCTCTATTTGTTTCTAAAATKGTCTTTGTTTCCCACATATTTTCCCTCCCCATCCCCTTTTTCTGTGACTGGATCTGCTTCCTCTGTGATGGTGTCCAAGCCAGTTGTTACAACCCAGCTGCTCAGTTAGGAAGTCTCCACTTCCATTTTCCCACTGCCCACTGGTCTGCCTTGAGCTTGGCTTTCACTGAAAACGATGACTGCCAAGGTAAGAGCACATCCAATAAACCAAGGTGAAATCTGTCCTGCTACAGCTTTGAAGCTGCTGTTGCTGGGGTTCTGTGGCTGGAGGGATTAAATTGAACTTGGGAAGGATAGAATCACACTTCTGAATGCAGCATCGACGTGCCCTGCCTGCTTCCAGCACTGCAAACAGGCAAGTGCTTGCCTTGAACTGATACGAATTACACCCATTTGCTTTGTTACAGATAGCAAGTAGAACTAGTCCCTTGTGCAGGAATTCAGCACAAGTTCTTTAAATAAATCTGAAATGCTAYGAACTTCAGAGTACACCGGTTCTGAGCTGTTGAGTGTGTATTTCAACACTCCATGAAACATGTGATTAATAGGTGTGTACTGGTAAAATGAAAAGAGGAACAAGAGGAAGATCAAAAAGTAGGATAGAAGATACTGACATTAAAAAATGTCCTTCAGTTGCTGATAGGGGTTTATAAAAATAAGTTCACCCACTGCAAAGGGCATGTGAGGATACATGGCATTTCTGCAAAAGAGAGACTCTAGGGGTGCTTTCAGCAAATAGGGCAGCTCCAGAACAGATAATAGCTCCTGAAATGCTCACWGTTTTGACTACTCACACACTTTTTGAATCTCATTTTACACTGAGATTTCACCTGTACAGGTACATCTGTTTCTGACTACAGCTACGCTGTGTAACATCTCACTATGTCTMTTTGGTATCTGGGTGCTTGTTTGTGCTTTTCTGTTTGAGTGATCAGTTAGCAAAATCTGACTCCCCAGAATGATAAAGTAGGTTTCAAAGTGGTCACACCAGCAGCTCTCACAGCAAGTTCTTAGCAGGTTACAAACTCCTTCCATGACTGTTTGCAAAGTCTGTATCTGTCTTTATAATATTTTCATTATTTTTATTTCTCTCTGAAATGGTAGGTAAGACATCCTCRTTGCTGGAGCAATTCTAACTCCAGCTCAGTGCTGGGCAATATTGATGTCTCTGAAGTAGGCAGGTCACCAACACCATGTCAACAGAAAGTCCCTGGGGTTGAGACTGAGATGCTGTAAAAGCTCTCTGGCAAGGTTTTACCCTGGGATTTGCTGYTTCTGCAAGATCATAAAATGTCTTTGAGGAATTGAAATAGATGTTGAATTGAGGAATTTGGAGCAGAGTCAAAAGGAAGGCAAAGCAAAGCATCTCTCTCCAGTCACTTGGAGATTTAAAGAAGTGTAAAATCTGCAGTTGAAATGTCTGAGCAGTGTGAGACGATGATGCCACACAGATAATGGGTTTCCAGAGACAGGTTTGAAAACCAAGTTTCAAAGAGCTCATATTTCAGAAGAGTGGTACTTACAGATATGCAAATTGGTGATTTGAGSAGCTGGATTACAGCATACAAATCCACATGATGCAAGGAAAACTGAGTAAGAACTGATTGGACTATACAGCCAGGCAAGATAGTAAAAGAGAGAAATACAAGTGTCTGGGCAGCTAAGTGATAGAGAATTGTTGTTTTATTTCACCTTGCCAACCACTTTACCACTGCCAATAATTTACTGGATMAGTATGAAAAGACTGGTTGGAAAAAAAGCTATCTGTCTACCTGCCTCAGGTGGGAGTGGCTGCTACAGAACAGGAATAGCAACTGCCCCGAGGGACCAAAACCACCTGCAAGAAAGGACTGAGCAGGAGAGAATTAGTACATTCAGGGGAGGAAGAGAGCAGACCGTACACAGCATGTAAGGGACAGGGTGATCATATTAATGGAAATGTAGATCTTTTCCAAAAAAGCAAACCCTACAATGCCAAGAAATTAAAAAGCAATGGCTCTGCAGGTTCTTGTTGAAGTGTGAACGCCTCATTTAAGCTGATGCCTTGAATAGTCAGCATTAAAGCTCTTGACTGTTAACTAAGGCAGGGAGGGAGATGGTGATCTGATGGCCAACACAGATCAGTGAGAGAGAGCCTCATCTCATGGGGACCCACCTAATTGCTTGGAAGTGAGAATTTTAAGGCTCTGAGCCAATRAGGGCTCCAAAAACATTCAGTGTTAATTTTTGCGGGGTGTGATCCATGACAGAAGCCCAAGGATGGTCACAGTACAGAAGGCTGGCAAATCCCACCATGCTGGGGGACAGACCAGAGCTTTGCCTKGCCTTTCACAGATGCAGAACTCAAGGATGTGAGCCAGAACAAGCTGTCAAGGAAGATATCAGAGACTAGAAAACCAACCCATGAATTTTACTGTATTCCTTCCAGAAGGAGATTTTATCATGGACTTAAGAGATAAAGAAGGTAACCCAGCACATCATTCTGTCCAGCAGTCACAGAATGCTCTCTCCTTCTTTATGGACCAATGAGACTTAAAACAGAGAGCAATGAGAAACTGCTACACCATGTGACCTTGCAAGGCAGGTGTCCTGCTGAAATACAAGGGAATTAAACACTGTGGAAGTCTGCAAGATTGCAATAGCTCTTTGAATGGCATGGAAAAAAAAGAGATTGTGTTAGAAACTTGCYTTGGAAAGTGAATTCATTGTGACACTGCCACAGTAATACCTTGTGTTACGAGACACTGGGAGCTCCAACACAAACCTGTCCTCTCTTTCTGAGCATCAGATTTCCAGCACCAGGAGCATATTAAGGGGCTATGGAGAGGCAGTGCTTCCTGCTTCAGCCTAATAGCATCACAAACARCCTCATATTCCTTGTACCCCCTCCATATGCAGCTATCGCCTCCTCTGAAAATCATCGACTCTTTATTGGATTTACTGCTCATCCATAATAAAATTAATTGTTTCTAGGATTGTTTAAATAATACCATCTATATTTATATACTTATATAATGCACAATAGTATGGCTTTTTTAAAAAAAGAAAAAAGTAAAAAAAATGAGAGAGTAATAGCTACCTCCTGCTGYACAATTTTTGTAAACAGTATTTCCATCCTAGAAAGGGAGAGGTTTCTGTATAAAGACACTGAACACCACAAATGAACATGTCAGTCATTGGGTCTGAGAAAGGAGAAAATCACAGCTCTGTCTGCACAAAGAGGTGGAGGGAGCAGGTGAGGGGTGTGATAGATCAATGAAAGGAGGGTTAATGATTCACCAAGCAGTAACACCCTCTCACAGGTTGTCTGAGGTGATCATTTTTCTGCCAATTCAAATGTTAGTTCATGGACACAAAGCAGAGACCTGAATCTTAAATAGCCAGAGGATGCATTCTTGGCTCTCTCTTAATGATTTTGAACTTCCACCCTTTCTGGTTGAGCTTCCCCATGACTGTGACAGCTGCTGAAATATTCAGCAAATAGCCATGGCCAGGCCACTGCTCAAAATATAGAGAAATGAGGAACAGCAGTTGTCTGGTTACATTCAGYTGTAAATTAATTCTCCTCAGTGAGGGAGTGTGTGCTGCTGTGTAGAAGTAAAGAGTGGGCTTTCCAAAGGGATCCCATTACTCAAAACATCTCATGCTTTCTCTTCAAGAACTTCTCCCAGGTCCCAGGCTTCTCTTATTCTGATATTAAAAGGGAACAGGGACTTGTTCAATGACTGGATTTCTATTCCCTACTGAAAGCAAGATTGTACCCCAAGGCTGGATTATTATAGTTGAGCTTTTCCATTTCCCTTCAGTCTAACTAAAAGAGGGTTGGGTTAAATGAGATGTAAGGAAGGAGTTTTCAACAAAGGTGGTAAAGCATTAGCACAGGGTGACCAGGAGGTGGTGGTTGCCTCATTCCTGGAAACATTCAAGGCCAGATTGGAGGGGAGCTCTCGGCAACAAGGTCTAATGGAAGGTGTTCCTGCACAGTGCCAGGGGCCTGGATTAAATGACCTTCAAAGGTCTCTCCCAAACCATTTTATTTATCTGGATCCATCTGATTTATTTTTATATAATTCAATTATAAGCATTCAGGGAGGGGCCATATTTTAATCTGCATTTGTGCAGCATCAAGTACTGTAGGCTCCTGGGCTCTGATGGGGATATGGTAATACAGATAACAAATTGAAATTACTGGGTAATTAATATTGGTCTGCTGCAATCCACCTAGTTATGAAAATGAATGGTACTGAAATGGAGCCAAAAGCTTGCCCACAAACAAATTASACTGTAATTGTCATCTGGTACCACTGCAGTTACAATACCCTCACTGYGAGAGAGGTGCTCAATTTTCCGGTACCAAAACATTAGGCAAGAGCAATAAAGATGTGGATTGAGGTGCAGATAGAACAGCTCAAAGGCAGAGACCTATGGGTTTCCATGGAGCTCTGAATTCTGATGGCAGCAGGGATAAGCAGTTGAGATATCAGGCACATTTARTGCCAAAATGCCGAGAGGCAAAAAGAAGGACATTCAGAAAGGCAAGGGCAAGAAAACAACCCAGGCTTTCTGCAGGGTACAATGCACACAGTATTCTAAAGAGTTTGGTASGGGCTGCCATATGGAAAGGATTATACTTACATAGGCTCCCACAATGCTGCTCTTGGCAGCCACAAAGATCAGACAGATGAAGATGGCTGATCCCAGCATTCCAACAGCACARACAAGAGGATCAGCTCGCTGGGTCTTTGACCGGCACCATTTGGTTGCTCCTGCCCCGGTGATCACACCCAGGAAACCAGTGAAGCAAGTGATTGCTCCAAAGATCAAACTATTAAAAAGAAAAAAAAAAAGGAAGAAGAGTAAGTTGGGTTTTTTTTTGAGTTTTTCTGCAGAATGGGCATGGTCTTTGGACAAATTATTAGGGCAAACTGACTAATGGAAACTTGCTCATTGGCTTTGCAAATTTGAAATAAAACAATGCTCACGATTTTAGCCCTCTTCCCCTGCAGTTAAGAAAAACACAGCATATGAAATTTATCCTTGTAGACAGGCTTTGATCCRTGGGTGAAAGGGTGCAAAGGGCTCACTCTGCTTCCTTGGGTGGAACTGAGATTCCTGCAAAGTGCCCTGAACAGGTAATTATGTATGCACAAGACTAATTAATAACCTGTACATTGATCATGGAAGGGGAAATCACAGACAGGCACCAAGAARCTTCAGGGGAAGTAAACCTAATGAGATTCTTAAATACCAGTCATTTCCAACATACTTCGACTTTATAACTCCTTTCATGCCACTTCAAAGAAGCTTTTTGCTGTTAGGTTCCACATTTGAATGTGTTAAATTCAACTTAAAGAGCCAGGAGGCTCCTTATTATATGTGCAGGCCTTGGATTAGAGTCTGGGACAACTACATTAGAGTAACTTGAGGGCAGTTCAAAATTGATGTGTCATCAAGGAGGGGAGAATTTCTCTTGGTAAACAGCAGACAGGTACTCAGGCTGGAGCTGTGTGTTTTGCTCATTGCATTTTTGCAGAATAGCCTGAGATTGCCTGCTGGACACTCTGGTTGATGGGATTCCACACCACTAAGTACTTTACTTGAGATGGGATAATATCTGCTACAGCAAGAAGGTTTTCCTAATATTATTTTTCCTCATAAGCTAAAAAGCAAAAGAGCTGACAAAAGGCATTTTTTAATAKATTTTTTTTTACCTGGAGGAATAATTTTATAGCGTTTTCTGGTTTGTGCCACCATGTTAAATCCCAAAATGAAGAATTACTTCATGTTAAATCCAAGCCACTGTATAATATCAAGCACTCCAGCCCAAAGTGTCTCATTTCTTCAACAAAACTCAGCACACAGAGAAATTTACAGAGCAAAGACCCAGGCAAGTCCTGCCTAAAACAGCAACAAAAGCCTACAGGATTAATCCCTGAAGCTTTAGGGGAACCATTCCAGCCTCTGATTTACAGCCACCACTGGGGCCTCCCAACCTGCCAGCTTATTTTGCTGCTATCACAGATGGGTCTTAATAAACCAAATTCCCAGCTCTCCAAACATCCTCCTTAGAGGATTTCTCTTTTCTGTTTTCTACTCTGCCCTGGGAATGAAGACAGAGCTGAGGTCATTGCTTCTCCCTTGGTTTGACTTCATGCAATGAAAAAGAGAAATAAAACCTAGTTTACAATCCCAGCATTTCCTATCATTGTTGAAAGGACCTAAAGGAAATTACAGACATTCTAGTACCTCGTCTCTGTGGGACTTGCCCGTTTCCTCTGGTAAATAAGCCCCCACGCCCTATCCCCCTCTGTAAGGCAGCYGACTCTGACTCTCACCTATCTTTGGTGCCACAGGGCTGGGAGCTGCAGGTCTCTGCTGTCTTCTGCACAACCTGTGCTCTGTGAAGGTACAGAGGAATCCACATGCCAAGTGCTCCTGTGGCAAAGGAGACAGCTGAGGTGGCCAAGGATGAGAACACGTAGCTGCGGCTGTGGAGACAAATCCAAGAGAAGGTTTACTGGGGAAAGTGAAAAAGTGGGAGCCCCACACAGGAGTCCGTGCTTCAGTGATAAAACCCAGTGTTCCCCCATACTTGCCACCCCCCTTTGCCAATGGACAGGGGTAACATGATGTACAAAGAAATGGAGAATAAGAAGCACAGAATATTCACATGCAATGTTCCATTGATAATAATATGCTGAACTCATCAGAGATATTTCACAAGACTGTTTTTCATGGGACTGTTTGAGAAGACAATCAGTACTTGGTCACTAAGACATGACATGTGAATTACAGGGCTTTCACCCTAATGGCACCTGTTTTACCTGGATGAGCAGTTTCACTTCTCCTGCTCMATCCATGCCACCATATGGTTATTACTTACATAAACTACCAAAAGCASTAACACAGAAATACTGATTAATTATCTATCATCATGTTTCATAGTCCTGTGACACTGGATGACAAGAGCAGGGAGGTATTTTAGCCAGTAATTCTAAAAATGACAGACATCACAAGTTTCCCATCAGAATTCCAAGGTAGCCCTGAATTCACAAGTCAAAGTATTTGCACATTCAAAGGCCAGCTTTCTGGAAGGAAGTGCAGCTGCTTAAACACTTGTGAGCATGTGAACCTTTATGCACACATCCAAGCACATTCACTGCTCATGGATTCCATCACATGTGGTTTATAAACACAGACATTTAATCTTGCCATAGTGCAAGCTTCTGTGTATGTTTTCCTCTTAAATTGTTAAAACTCTCTTTTTCCCCTCAGCAGAGTAGCAATTTTGAGGGGGAAAAAAGGATCCAAGTGTCTGAATAACAGTGGCACAACAATTAATACAGGAAAACAGCAATTTCTACACTTCAAAAGCCATGATTTGTGTGAAGTATGAGCCAAACAAAGCAGACTCTTCCTTAGATGTCAGTCTTGGAAGGGTTAGAGCAAAACTTGGAATCCATCATCACCACTGCAGTCAATACGTCATGTAACTGTGATTTTTTTTCCCGGGTCCACAGACTAAACTTCCTGCAACTCCCTGCCTGTTGCCACTTTCTAGTCTCACCGTGCTAAATCCAGACCACTGGATGTTCCAATTAAGCATTAGAGGCAAAACATGGGTTTTACTAGTGGTCTTACTTTCTAATCAATGCTTTCATGTCTCTCAGCCATGAAGTCCGAGCCTTCAGCTGCCCCCCAAGTTGTTCAGCATTTCCTCTTTTAGCAGCAGGCACAAATATCAAGATGAGCGTCCCTGTTATCATTCCTAGGAGTGGAGATACCTGCAAGAAAGRAGCAGGGAATTAGCACAGGAGGCTTTGCTTTGACTGGTCAGGAAGAAGAAGAATGCATCAGTTTGGTTACAGTGACTGTTCCTCACAGCCAGTCAGAACCTGGGAGCATCGAGGCTCCTTTCTTCCTCCACGTCATCCCCTGGACTCTCTTACCTCACTCTGGAAACATYCAGCTTTGAACATACCCTGATTAAGGCAATCCATTGTGTTAATAAGTACCAAGATTCATCTAAACATGATYCTTCAGTGATGTTCAATTCTTTGGAAACCTACTCCCAGCTAGGCTGAGGAGACCAGCTGATTTCTGGGTGAGTGCAGAAGCCTTTTAAAGGCAATGAAACCAGCTGAAAGGTTTCTGGATGTAAGGAACATGCTGGCTTTGAAAACCCTTGCTTGACATGCATCCCTCTTCCAGCTAACCCACAATGGCTTCCTGTTTTCAGGCATCTTCCTCAGTTTACCTCAGTATAACAGACCAGGAAACACTGCAAATTCAAGCTGAAAGGTAGGAGAACAACACATTCAAGGGTCTGGCTTCCCAGTATCCAACCCTTTCTCCCAAGCACTAGGCAAAAATACAAAGATCCCACAGTGCTTTGCAAGCTACACAAGCTATCCTTGTTTTGACACTGAAATTCCATTATTCCATTTCCATTTCCATCACAATGCAAAATAGCTCCATCAGGAAAATAGGAACATGGATTCCACTGAACTATCATCTCATCTAGACATGCTATTTACTTCTGTTCAAAAAAAAAAAAAAAGCTTCCATTATTATCCTGAGAATGGCCCTTACACATGAAGCAGTGTTTCATGTCCARAGATGACAAAACCATGATCCTTCTAGGGAAGACAAAAATATTTTGGAACTGGAAAGCCAGGGCTAAGTCCCTCATCCAGGAATACACTGAAGCCTGATACAGTATTCTTATGACAGCTGAACACAAGACACAGCACTAGTAAAAATATTGGAAATGCTGGGTTTTTTTCAGACAGATAATTTCAAGTCTTTTGTATTTATCTCTAAAAGCTTAAGTACCCACCAGGACAATATCCATGGACACTCAGTAATGCTCTGTTTCATTGTTAGATTTAAAGACAAAACTGTCACTTGCCTACATGCCCTTTAGTCTTTTTTCAGCCCGTTGAAGTATGGATTATTCTTGACCTCTTCTAGATTGGAGCCCACAGGAGATTACAGAGGGAAGCATCATCTTGGGCAATCATTCCCATCTTACAAAAGCACAGTAATTGCCATAGGGATGGAAGCTGCTTTACATTGATATCAGGAAGCTTTCTATGTGTGCTGTGTGACTACAAAAATGGAGCAATGATGTCCAAAACAACCACCACATATGTGTGAGGCTCATCAGCTTCCCCAAATTTTGTACAGTCAGGGAGTCCTGAACCAATGTGTCATTTATAATGGAAACCATGACCTGTAAGGGGCACAGTCTTGAAGAYAGCCTGGATTTCTCAGGATATCTATGAAGACACTACCTGAAAAGTGCTACTGATGATCTCTATGCACAAATTACCTACTTGTTTTTTTTACAGACAGATCTGGGCTTTCCAAGAGTTCTCCAGTTAAAGACCACTGTCCAGAGGAGGGGCTCTGGGGTTCTCACTCCTTGTGTTGGCCTCTGCTCAAAAGTTCATGTCACCCTTAAATATTTCTAAGGGTGGCAGATGTCTAAGGAGGCAGCAGCCKCTTGGTGGGAAGCTGTAGGCCACTCCACTTTCCACTCCAGGTCTGCCCTCCACTCTCCTAGCTGTAGATGAACCACTCRTGGTGATGTTCCCAGCTTTGCTTACCCTAGGCACAGCCTGTGTCAAAGAAGGCACGTTTGCTTCAGATGGGAGCCCTTGTGTTTCATCATCTGCTGTTGTAAAAGGTGTTGGCCTGAGCTTCATGAGATTCATTGTCTCCATGAAGTGCCAGAGCCAGAGAATGCACCTCCTGTGCCACCCACAGTGRCAAAGGTCAGAAACCAGTTCTGCTGGGCCACTTCCTCTCAACTCTTTCAAGACATCTTTCTGTGCAGGAGCTGTTTGTGAGTATGTGATTGGAGTGATTATCTTTTCAGCACATTTATCAGGGTCCCAAGAGGTTAAAATAGAAGGAAACCAACTGTCTCAGGGCAGAAAAACAAGCGGAAACTGGAACAAATTGTTTTTTCCTCAAAGCAGGAAGCCATTCTCAGAGTTTCTTGACAGCAGGGGACTGAAAGACTGTGGAGTTGATTTAAGGCCAATGCCTCGTCTTCCCATTCCCAGCAAGAAGTCATGATTGATTGACTGATGGATAACAAAGTATTGGAAAATTCTTGCTCCCAAGCAGGGAAAACACCAAGTCCTACAAGCCAAGCCCATACACCCTTCCCCTTTGCTTAGAGAATGCATCTGCCATGTACGTAACATCTCCAGATGTAATTGCCAATCCTTCACCTTCCMGATATAATAACAGGTTGAGCCATTGTGTGATGGAACTCTTCCTAACACCAATCAACCAACTAACCATCATTAAGGTGTGTCATTAAGAGGGACTTACCCGCAGTGCCCAGTGCCAGTCTCCAGCAACCTGCTTCACACTGGACCCAGTGATGTACCCCAAGCCACTGCAAGAAAGGCCAAGATGAGAGTTGGTCAGAGCTATGAGTGCCACAGTCACAGCTGTTCACAAAGGCAAAGAGAGGTACAACCAACTCTGTGTCCTCAGCTCCCTTGTCCTACAGGAAGAAACATGGGGATTGAAGCAGATGGTGGTTAATACGTGACTCTACCCAGCACTGCTGACCTAAAAATGTCCAAATCTGGCGGAAATTCGGAAGTTTATAGCTGACCTTTCCATCTACAGTGGATGGAAACAAAGACTCAAAAATAATTTATTTCCCAATTTCATTTCTACATCAGGCCTTTTTCTTTGCCAATATGAATATTACACAATTTTATGTTCAAGCTTTCAAGTTAAAAAGTGCCCTTCAAGGACAGACCATATTCCATCATCAGATTTTTTTCTTGTCACTCAATAGTACTTGGTTCTAATTATGCTGAAAGAGACCATTTTCTATTAGCCTGGAAGAAGAACCAAGAAGAACATGCAAGAAGTTTGATGGGTGACCTTCAGCCTCATCTAAGACATCAGGCATGTCACAAGAGACTTAAGGCGAATGTGTTTCTCTCAACATGAGGTGAATGTGAATATCCTTTTGTAAAACTGATGCATTTGTTGCYGAGATTGCCTTGGCTAAAAGCTGCCAGGATTGCAATGGGGCAACTGTGAGCCACCTGCTTCCCTCCCTCTCCTTCCCCTGCCTTTATTGAAGAGTCTGCTAAACTTTGGAGGTTGCCAGCTAGAACCTCCSCAGAAATGGACATTTTACCCAGACAGGCCTCAAAATCAAACTRTGAATCGTCTCATACTGGTTTGGGTKAGAAGGGACTTTAAAAGCCCATCCAGTTCAAATCCCTGCCGTGGGCAGGGACACCTTCCACTAGACCAGGATGCTCCAAGCCCTGTCCAACCTGGCCTTGGACACTTTTAGGGATGGGGCAGCCACAGCTTCCCTGGGTACCCTGTGCCAGGGCCTCACCACCCTCACAGGGAAGAATTTCTTCCTAATATCCAATCTAAACCTYTTTCAATTTACAGCTGTTGTACTATCCTCCGTGGCCCTGTGATCCACGCTGCTGTTGGATATTGAGATAATGAAGTCCCAGAGTCAGGCTCAACAGGAKGAATATTTGTAATTTCTTTCTAGTTCACTGAATTCTCTATGCAAATACTTGGAATCCTTGGTCCTCTTGGCAAAATATTCTTTTTACCAGTTAAGGACYTGTTTCTTTCTTTTTCCTCAAGAGCAAAAGGATGTTTGTGAGCTTTTTCTCATGGGYTTCAAGTGTTCCAGCTTGTAAAACACACCACCAGAAGTTTTCCTCTGAATCTGGAACATGTTGCCCATGTRTTCCCTGCTGGAAATGAACCCTTGATACCCCTTTTGCACAGGATGTTGTCCAGCTCTGGGAATTGGTATGCAAACTATGCAAAGTCACCCTGCCTACAACCTCACAATAGAGGGTCAGCCATTATTTWWAAAAAATAAAATAGTGACAGATTCCCTCCTGTCCCAACAATCAGATGCTGCGTTGGGCTGATAAGGAAACTCAACTGAAAGAAAAAGTCATCTAAAATATTTTGATTCCATTTCCACCCCATTGCTGTAAAAGAACAGAAAAAAGCCCCAAACCAACAACAAACTTCCTATTAGTTCCCAAAAGTCACACATGAACCAGTAACAGAGCTAGAAAAAGAACCTAATTCCTGCAACTAATTAGTCACTGCTCACAATATTTTCCTGTCTAAACCATTCCAGCCAAAGTCAAGAACTATCATCATTAGCAATTTCAAATCTGTGTGAGTTTATTTCAGAGAAAAGCCAAAACCAGATTAAAGMACCTTCATGTCACTTACCTGCCCAGAGGAATTGCAAAGTAGAAGACAGACAGCATAAGGGTCCTTGTGTTTTTGGTGAACAGGTCTCCAATAATTGTTGGTGCAATAGTGGAATAACTCGCTTCACCAATGCCAACCAAACCCCGTGAGAGCACAAGGAGCCAGAAATACTGAGAAAATGAAAAAAAAAAAAAAATTAGCAGGTCCCTTCTTGGCTTTTTTAATTCAGGATGAATCTAAGTGAGGTCTGTGAAAACAGGTAAATACAAATCCATGTGACTGGAAAATGATCCTCCTGTATGTCTTTATTTCTTAAAACTTCACAGTTGTTTCATTTGTCTCTTGCTCAGAAGAAAGGCACTATATTTTTTGTGAAGATTTRTAGGCATGAAAGAAAACTAATAATAAAACATTTTTGCAGTGCCATTCCAGAGTCTAAAAGAGGCAGAAGACCCCCAGTTTGTTCCCGGGTCCCAGTTCACTCTTGCTAAATCCGAGTTAGTGCAACAAGCCCTGCTCTGGGCCCCAGAAACAGCAACTCCTGCAGAGCACAACCCACCCTCCCCAGCGTGCCAAGGAGAAGTTCTGACTGTGAAATCCTCAAGGCTCTTCAAGGTTGGGAAAGAGTTGAACCTGCAATTTTCCAAACTAAATGTTCTCCTTCATTAAAAGCTATGTAACAATGCAATTTTTCAAAGGTGCTGAGCACCCATCTCACTCCACTTGCCTTGAACAGCAGCAGACACCTCCCCAAAACCCTCACAGAAGACCTGAGCTTTAATGGGAACCTCAGGAACATCTGTGTGCTCTGTAAAGAGGACCTGCAGGGAATGACTTGGAGCCACATAGGGCAGGGCCATGGAGCAGGCATTCAGCTGCTCAGGGAATTACCTGCTKTTCTGGGTTCTTTCACAGAAAAAGAATATACTTCACACTTAGCACAACACAGTCTAAAATAGACAAAAAGGAATTGTTCATGTAAGAGAATTTTCTTCAAGACCCATTTCAAGCAACACTTTTGTGAACTGCAAGGACCTGATTTTCAACCTAAGCTCTTTCACTGCTCCTGCAATTTTCTGGGTGCTGCTGAGTGCAGGCTAGGACACGATGCTTTGATGCCTGAATACCTGATACATGAGCACAAGCAAGTTCTCAGCCATCTAAGCAGCTTGAGCTTARAATTACACCAAGAAGTAATTGCAAAAGCAGAAATGAAACAGTCAACGCGGAAAGTTGTAAGCCCAAAGAAATCTTTTTCTGCAAATGCAACCTCTACAAATCCGCAATTTACYGTTGTTATTCTACAGATCATTTTTGAGAAGAAGAGTGGGGATTTAAACTGAAAGAGGAAAGGTTTAGATGAGATATAAAGAAAAAATTCTGTGAGGCTGGTGAGGCCCTGGCACAAGGTACCCAGAGAAGCTGTGGCTGYCCCATCCCTGGAAGTGTCCAAGGCTGGACAGGGCTTGAAGCCATCTGGGATAGTGGGAAGTGTCCCCATGGCCAGAGACTGGAACTGGATGGACTTTTAGGGTCTCTTCCAACCCAAACCAGACTGTGATTCTATGTTTATATGTCCTTAAACATGGAAGTGCTCTGAGAATAATGAGCAATTAGTAATTATTCTTCTTCAGAGGGGAAAAAGTTAAGGGAAGTGCCCAACTCAGCCAAATCAAGCCAGACTACAAATCTCATTCACAAATGTGGAAAATGCCATGCAGACACCAAGCCACATGCCTCAGTCATAAATCAATCTATCAGTAGACAAAAATCCACCACTGACATGCTTGCATTGTTTCCCTCACTGTAATTCCCCAGTTGAAAATTTTTTGAGGATTCCTATAGCCACACAAAACAAATACTTTRGTGTACTCCTCACTTCCTCATATTTTGGTGTGAATTCTGCAGCAATACCCATTTTCTGAGGGAATACAGGTTCCTTGTTTGCTGGCAGGGCGTGTGCAGTGCTGCTCTCATTCATACATCTCCCAAGCRCTGCACATAACTCACACACGTGGGTGTGAGCAGAAAGGGCAATACTGTGACTCAAGTGATTTAATTTATGCCAATTACCCAACACTCAACTACTCCACTGCAGAAATATGCTGGCAGTCATTGCTGCACAGGTAACCAATGTGTTTGGAATGAGCAACAGTATTTGTAACGTGCTGAAAGGCTTAGTCATGTAGAATTAAAAAGCAGGGAACTGGAGGCTGGCTGTGGTTTCTGAGGAGGTTCAGATCCCAGTCACCTGCCAGGCYTGGGATGAGCATGGACAGTGCTACTTACACCTGGAGAATGACAAGTTTGTAAATGCACTGGGTGTTCCCCAAATTTGAAATACCTACCTAAAAATGTCACCATTTTATGCTCACCAGCCAGTATTGTTCCCAGTGAATGCACTGAATAGGAATTACCTCCAAACAATGTTGTTAGAAGGTTCCTTTTACAATCCTTCTGTAAAGCAGGAAGACTGTACCAAGTATTCCTTTTGTGATAAAGTGACTCAGTTTCATCAATACCATGGAATCAGATGCCCAATACAATGAAATCATCTGCAACAAGTAACACATTTATTCCTCGCTTATCCCATGCTTACACCCTCCAAATATCTGTTTAATATTCAAACCATATTCTTTGTAGCAGAGGTAYTCAAACTTAAGTCATGAGATTTTGACTTCACCTGGGAATAAAAGCAGTCTTAAAAAGAATAATCTACATAAAGMCCTCAATGGTATTGCCCTTCTGAGATCAGATATTCAAGACTATGGACCATGCAGCCATTACATTGCATGGCCAAACATACAAAAATCTAAAACAATTTTAGAGAATTATTTATAGTTGGTTCTACACTGTGCCTGGTTCTGGAGCTCTGTATTCTAGGATTAAAAAGCTAATACCTCTTCTTACCAGTTCTTTGGGATCTTTGGCTAGCATACATACTGTTGGAATCTATATGGTAAAATTCATATAATGAGCTGGGACACCCCATCTTCCACTCTAATTAGTCACTCAAAACGTATGTTTTAGCTGTCTCTGAAGAGGGACAGCTGGGGAGCTCCCCAAGACAAAAAGGGGTCCTTTCCATGAAGAGCCTTGTCTTTTTGATATTCATATAAGAAGAAAAGAATACAAACAACAGAACAACTCTAAAATTCTTATGCTGCTGCTCATTTGGACCAGCAGGCTTTCCATGAACCACTCAGAAACTGGTCCTGAAACCACTCCATATGCATTACGGACAACTGCTATTTTTTGTGTACATTTATATACATACACTCATRGGAACATCCCGCTTCCTCTCCAAGTGGATGTGGACATGACAACCTGCACAAACACATGGCAAAGTCAGATGTTCCTCCTGCAGAGGAAATTGTTCTCCACCATAGCTGTAGCAGGACACCTCTGCCATTTCCTTTTATGCTGGATTTTCCCCCCACTGCTTTTCCATTTCTATCCTACCTCAAGGTTCTCAGCATTTTAGTGAGACAAAAAGAGCTGACACCAGCCCAATTTTGTCTCTGCTCAAAAGCAGAACAGGCAGCTCAGACTTTAACTGAATTTCACTGTTCCCCAAGCAGAAACTGATATATATTGAAGAAGCTTATTCCTTTCTATATGACTTGAGAACTCTTCTGTAATTTGTTCATCTGTGCAAATAGGTCTCTGGCAGGAAAATTGAAAATATCTGAGTCAGCTTTCAGGACTGGAGCTGATTCCTTCTCCACAGGTTAAGGGAAACCTCAGCAACCTCAACAACCTCAACATTTATCACCTCACTAGTGTTTTTCTAAAATGAAGTGTTTGAAACTGTAGGTTTTTTGAAACAAAATGCTATTACAACAAACAATTTATTAGTGTCTTTAATTTTGCAAAGCAGTCATGTCAGAGACTGCACCTCCATGAGAGCTGCCAACATGTCCTGGTTTGGAGAGATGCAATGGGTTTTTTGGAATGAGTACAAGGCATTAATCCTCCACCCTGTCCGTGTGTCAGCCCGAAGTGCTGCTGAAATTCCGTGGGCACAGCCACGGAGCAGCACTGCTCCAAGGCACCAGCCTGGATGTGGCACTGCAAACGGACACCTGAACCACACAACATGACTGCTATGAGCTCCTGGGGCAATTCAGGGTGCAAAAGGGCTCCCAATCCCTTTGTCCAACCTGTATGGCTGGTGAGACACAAGCCAGGGTAAATTCCAGTGCACAATAAACCATCAGTATATGGAAAGAACGGGGCTGCAGAGACCCAGAACTGCCACAGCCTTTCTGGGAATTTCCCTTCAAGAGATGACATCACCAGAAATTCATGCACAGAGAAAGCACTCCTACCTATGAATTTGTGGTACAAAACGTCACTKGACCTGCTCTCTTCTTCCCATCTCCTAAATATATGGAAGGAAAAACACCCTCTAGCCATAAAGCTGAAAAATTTACTTTGTCATTTGAATAGTAACAACCCAAATGAAAAAAGAAACCCATTTCCTCAAAATAGAAATGAGTTGTGGAAGGGTTACAGATCCTTATGCCTGGGGGATGTGCTGATAGAGAATGAAAAACTCTACCTAACAACTTTTACATTTCTTAAACTATCAGCAAACCATAGGCAACAACAGTGACAGATCATGGGGTCCAAGGGACTTGGTCTCATTACTGTCTCAAGTGTCACCACACACTAGAAGCTATGGATGTGACACAATCCTTTCAGAATTTACATCTCATAAAAATTTTCATGGAGTTGGAGTTAAATATTCATGGTACAGAACCATTGAATTGTTTAGACTGGGAAAGACCTCTAAGAACATCAAGTCCAACAGATAAAATGTATGATACGGTTTCTATTCACACCTTCATACTGACTTTATTCTCAGTCTCCTGCACACATAAATGTTTGATGGCCTAGGACACATGACTGGCTTTAATCACGTTTGGTGAGACTTCCTAATTATACATTTATCCTAGTTGTACAGGCCAGTCAGGGAGTAATACATGTTTTAAGAGGTCTAATTACAGCTTGAAGTTCTCTCTCTTTTTTAAATTAGCTAACAAAAGGAGTAAAGCCACAGTTCTTTAAAAGATTAGCTGCCAGTGGTAAACCTATAATCTGCCAAATATGTGTACAACTCTGAACCACCAGATTTACTGTCTAAAGAATCATATGATCCTTAAGC